AAACAGTGCGTGGAATTGTTGAAAAAGGGGGCATCTGTATTTTTCTTTCCAGAGGGAACTCGGAGTAAGGATGGGAAGTTAGGTTCATTCAGGGTGAGGATCAAAGCTAAATAACTTAGTATCTTTTTGAATGTGCATCCATTATTAGAGCTTGACCTTTATTTACTAAAATTTTGCTTTAATTGTCTTAATATAGAAAGGTGCATTCAGTGTTGCTGTAAAGACTGGAGTACCTGTTGTGCCGATTACCCTTTTGGGAACCGGAAATCTAATGCCTTCAGGAAAGGAGAGTGTATTGAATTCTGGCTCTGTGAAAGTCATTATGCACAAGCCTATAAGAGGTACAAATGCAGATGCATTGTGCAGTGAAGCTAGGAATGTGATAGCAGATACACTTGTTCTACATGGTTATGGGGTGCACAATATTGAGTAATTGCATTGTTTTTCTCATTTCTAAGCTCTTTAGCTTAGATCTGTGATGCGGAGATATAATTTGAAATCAAGGTACATGTTTCGTTCTTACTGTCTGTTCTTTTTCCCCCTTCCTGTAAACAAATTATAGTTGAGCAAATTTAGTCGGAAGAATACATTTTTGTGTGAAAAACCATAAGATCACAAATTTGAAGCAAATGAGAAGTGTGCTGAATAAGGTTTATTATGGATTAACAATCAACCAATTCTGTGACTCACTAGTATAGAAATATCTTTTTATTTGTTTGTCATGCCGGCGTATATTTCCATATTAGATGCAAGTATTTAAACTTCAAACATATTTCCCCCCCTGATTGTTGTGAGCGTTCGTGTAGTTGGTGTTGCTTTCTATATAAGTAGCCGTTCTATAAAAGGATCTGATCAGCAACAACAAAGCCTTTTCTAATTTTTTTTGATTGGCTATTCAATCCTATTCTAAGTTACATGGATACGGGGTGCGGGTATGGGCACGGTACGAGACACGGCAAATTTGTAAAGGGTAGGCTACAAGGACACAACCAGTGTTCAAAAGGCGGAAAAATCATCCGCATATCCGGGCGATTATGCAGGCTTGGTCCATTTCCCCTTGGAAATGGGCTCATTCACTTAATTATGCGGACATCCGCATAATTGAGCGAATTATGACTCTTTACCCGCATGAACAAATACGCGGGCGACTTGTACTTTCAGGTTTAATGGGTTTTGAGCCCAAAAAATGAACCTGAACCCGTTTTAATCAACAAATCCCTACCCATTTCTAAACTATATCCTAAATACCAATCCTTTCCCCCTCTTTCTCTCTCCGCGTAAAAAGAAAAACCCTAATCACCGTCTTTTGCCTCGCCTTCTCCACCTGCAAGGTCTTCTCTTCACCTTCTTCTCCACCGAGCTTCAAACGCCCTCCAAACAATCTTCCATGCCTTCTGCCCTAAATCTCGTTGCCTTTTCTTCTTCTACTTTAGCTCTTCGAAGCTTCCTCGCTGTTGAAGATTCTCAGTCGAAGCTCCGGTACGTGGACTTGTTCAGTGGACTTGGTCAGTAGTTAAGTTCCCCGAGCTTCTGTCGCCGTTGAGGAGGATGTCATCCTGACTTCTTGTTTTAGTTTAAGTGTTTAATTAATAAATTCTATCTGAGTAGCTAGTTAATTATGGTGTACGCATGGATAATGGATTGAGTGTTTAAGTACTTAGTTATTGAGTATTTAGTCACATGCTTATTGGCATTTTCTTAGTATATGTTCTAATATTACGAATTATATATATTTTTATGTATGAAAAATAATAAATATATGTTAAAATATTCAAAAACACATAATTCTGCATAAGCGCATAATTTGATTAATCGTGACTCGCTCTCGGACAACGCGCATAATGGAACTGTTTTTTTGAACATTGGACACAACTACATATATATGATACATGTATTTATAATAATAATGATTTACATGAGATCTATATTATTATTTTTTTGTTTAATGGGCTATGAAATAGAATCGCTATAACATTTATATGTTTCTTTTATAACATAGATCTATAAATTAGAAAATTGATCCTTTTTTAACTTCATATACAGAAGGCTCTTAAATCATAGTTTGAACTGGGTACAGGTTGAAATGAACCCCTCTTATGTCCAGTGAGCTTCGAAAATTACATGTGAAGTATATACCTATATGTCCAAGAAGTATATGTTGAGTGTTTTAATTAAATCATGTATTATATAATTGCGTATGCATTTGAAAAAGTGCACCAAGAAGCCTCCATTGAAGTTTTGGTGTTGGGTACGGGCACAACACAGGCCAGCTCCAAATAGAAGTACCCTTGTAACATAGATCCTATTATTTCTTTCAATTCTGCTAACATCTATCTTCTCCATGAAGTTAATCAATATCTTGTACCCGTCTTAAATTACTTCCAACCAAGTTCTCTTACGTTTACCTCTAGTTCTCCTTAATTCATTAATCATAACCTTATCACTTCTCTTAGCGGTGTCTTTAAGGTGGTTATATTTCTTACAAGAGGCAACTATTTACATTAGAAACAACTAGAATTTTTCCTCTTCCAATTCACAGGTATTAGTATAAATATAGATCAGACCCTTCCCTGTGTCCCTTTGCAGGATCCAAGTGCTCAGCCATATGGAGAAGGTTATGAACGAGTTGTTCTGTAAATATTCTATTTCACCTTGAGAGTCTCAATCGAAACTCAGCTTGTGATTTCAGCTGATTTCTATGTACCTATACTTCTAATCAAAAATTGCTTAAAGCTCTAAAACTTAATGCTGAACAAGTAAAGGCTAACCAAAACCATGAGTTGTCTTTCATACTTCTGCTGAATTAATCAGCAGGCCATTTCTATTACCATACCATAGTTTCTTCTTGAGCTTGTCAGGGTTCAATAATTTTACAACTCAGGAGGCAATTCCTCGTGTACCGGTGAGTCCTGTAAGCCATGTTTTCCTTTACAGTTATTTAAACTACTATTATTTGTATTTCATAGTTTTGTGTTTAGAAACTGGAATCTGTAACTGACTGACTGTGGTTTTCTGAAGTATACACCTTTCACTTGCATTTTTGGAGTTAAAAGAGAAATGACTAGATTTTTATAAAACTGCAGCTAAAGTTTTCTTTTGGAGTTAGACGGTTACACTTTGCAAAAATGCAAATAATAGGGCAAGCAGAGCCCCAACTTGACCATTTGGAGTTGAGTGATCTCTCTAAAAAGAAAACTGAAACGTAAGTCCCAAATGGCAAGGTCTTAGAGAATTAATTCTATTATCATTTTATTATTTTGTAAAATAGATCCAAGGTGACAAAGTGTCGTAGTCACGATGTTAAACTGTTTCCATGCAACTTGTTAGCTTTGACAGGGTCCTTATTTTAACCTTTCAACTCTATTTTCTCTAACAGCTTTTCGAGCCTCCCAGAGTTTATTCTCAACGAGTGTGAACACCGTGCAAAGCACGACATATATTTTTTCCCCGCTACAGCAATCCCGATTTTTAATTGCTATGGTGTTTTTTGAATTGCCAAGGTATCCCGCTGCTGCTATAGTATTCCCGTGTAGCATGCTACAGTATTCTTTCAAAAAAACCCCAAGTGTCCAGTTTCATGTTTACTACAACAATAATGCTACAGTAAATAATATCGTAGCATTTACTGTGGTATGAATAGTGAATCTTTGATTCTCCCACTTGTTGTACGTGTCTACCCTTGTTCTTACTCCACTGCACTTTTCTTAGATATTGTCCAGAAGGATGAGCAACCATCGGTAGCTCAGATTTCTGTTACTTCTCTATCATCAGTCTTCTGTGTGATGAATGGAAATGAATACACGAGTATCATTCTCCGACATGGAAACATTGTGTCACACGCCACAAGCTACCCAAAACCCAAATGCAAGGACACCGTTGTGTGTATATATATATTGATTAAAGATCTGTATCCGTATATTTCTTTTCAATGCCTAGTTTTAGTAAAATAATCTATAGAATAATTAGCTTTTTGTTAAAAAGAGCACAATGCACTCCATCTCATATACAATTTTCAGGCAAACAAGAATTTACAAATTTTCCATCCCAGTTTGGTTAACGGTTCCAGATATGCTCCACATGATTCTCAAATCTGAGTCTAGGTGTTTTAGTATATTAGTTTTCTTTTCTCACATGTAACGGGCATAAGGAAGTATTAACAAAGAAGATTTAATTTGGAAAAAAATGACAGCAGTATGAGCTGACATATTAATTTGCATGAATAAGGTTTTTTTTTTATATTCGATTTTTGCAATGTTAATATTTTGACATAAGAGTTACTTTTGTTTATTTGTCTGCAGCAACTCTATTTTTTGGTAGCGGATAAGTTAACAACGAAAATATTCTCTCTAGATGATGGTATGTGCAGCTTGACACGTCGAACCCGTGTTAATAGGGGTGCTAAACCGTAGCCGCATCCGAGAAAAATCTGTAACCGTATCCGTTAGGATACGGATATGGTTACTCAAATATATAACCGATAGGATATGATCACGGATATGGTTTTGAAGTGAAATATCTGTATCCGTATCCGAAATATCCGAATTCATATTAGTCATACTCTTACGATAGTTTCAATTATTAAATTGTGGATTTGTGGTTAATTTTTGATGATCAAGATGTCTAATCTTAGCTTTTTAGTTATAATGAACATATTAACGATCACTTTTTTATCACATGAACTATGTTTTTTCAATACTATCTAGTTTTCTCATATCTGTTTTCTATCCGCATGCATATCCGCATCTATATCTGTAACCGTATCCGATTTTAACAAATATGGATATGAATCTTCCTTACAAAGATCTATCTGTATCCGTATCCGAAATGGGTAAGCAGATATGGATATGATAAACATCATATCCGAGCCGTATCCGGACCGAATGCACCCCTACTCGTTAAGCAATTTTTCATCCTGCAGATGAGATAACCACAATTTTACCGATCGTTACTCAAAACGGCAGTTCGGCTGTAATCCTTTTTAGCTTTAGAGCTTACTTCTAATCTTGCTGTAATCTTGTTGAGATTCCGCTGTAAAACTGATTTTTGGAATAAAAATTTCTTGAAATTTCAGTATTTTTTTTCGGAAAGCAAAGTAATTCCCTAGTGCGTACTACACTGTTTATATTTCTGAAGAATTGGGAGCATCTCTATGTGAACGTGTCAATCTTTTGTCTGTTGTTCCTCCGCAACTTAAAACATCCAGCGTTTGATAGAATTTACGCTCTAATTTTATTCTGCTCTAATTTTGTAATTCCTTTTCAATTTTGATTATCGCTTTCGAATAAGTGATGATCAATTGGAGAGTATTTTTCTGAATGAACAAGTTTTCCATGTACTTATTTAACTCCTAAGATTCCTTTTGAGTCCTGCAAACTCAGAGCAGAGCACATCCATAACCACCGCTTAAATATATACTTCACCATCTGGAAAAAGATGCATAATCAAATATTCTCAGCAACTAAGAGCATCTCCGACAATGATCTTAGGTTTTCCCTATATTTGAGGAGCAAATCTCTCATCCTAGAAAATAGGAAGGTAAATAATGAGCAAATGCTTCAACAATGCTTCTCAAATGACTCCCTATCTCATGTCCTAGACTAAATATAGGGAGTAGAAAGGGGAGGGGGGCGATTGCTCCAACAATGCTCCTTATGTTGAGACAAAATATAAGCAGTCATTCTTGTCTTTGATTTCGAATACCAAATCATAAGCCCTATATTTAGTCTTCATTATAGGGAGCTTGTTGGAGCCAAAATTTCCCGTCATACTCCCTAAATTTACTCAAGGACATGAGATAGGGAGGCTCTTGGAGATGCTCTAAAAGAACAAAGAATATGACAGGCCAGACTTCAATTTCAATACACAGGATTCACTCACTTTCAAACGGCCGGTACCACAAAACAGAGAACAGTAGAAAAACTGACATGATCCTGCCGATAATTAATTTACCGTCAACTATGACTTCCATCTATATACGATGATGTATAATTCAATTGTCGTTTAGAGTTTCAAACAATACTGATACGTAACCGGCCAGAGTTTAATTTTACATTGCTGTCGGTTGCATAAGTTGTACGTAAATAGTTTTTTTTTGTGTCTGAAAGGCATACATCTGTCTGTTCCCAAGCCTGCCCTTAAGCTGAGAATGCAAACCCTCAATTGAAGCTTGTCCTGTATAAATAATAAAAGAGTTCGATTTTTGAGAGTCTAATACTGGTAAATTGAATATTTAGAAGATAATATAAAGATACGGCTATGAAAATTACATGTAACTAGGCCAGTGCATATTAAAAATGACGATCTAAATCAGACGCTATCATTTCACAAACAAGGGAGATCCCAACAAATCTAAAGAGGAAAATAGAACAATAAGAATGTCACTTATGCGTTATCACATACATTAATGCTGTGGAGTTCATACGAAGATGTTCACATCTAAACTATGCGTCTACAAATGAACCATATACCTCCTGAAAAGTCACACATCCTTGAACTACTCCCACCAAATATGACGAGCTTCGTAAGAATAGGAATTCTACCATGCTTCTCAAAAATTACATCGAACTATACCGGATACCATTGTAGCAAACATCTGGTGCAGAATGTTCACTTTTAAGGTCATGACACATGATGAAGTCCTAGGGTTCACTCTTAACAATTACTATACACACTTTTCTAGCACACATAAGAGGGTGAGCCTTGGCGCAACAGTAAGGTTGTTGCCTTGTGACCTAAAGGTCATGGGTTCAAATCCTCGAAACAACCTCTTCGCATGTTGAGGTAAGGCTGCGTAAATCCGACCCTCATGCACTGGGCTACCTTTTTTACTTTTCTAGCATGCATCTCCTGCAGGTCTACACTTTAGGATCATATAATAAGCCGAACACTTATTTCTGGGCCTCATGCACGGGGCTACCTATGTTTACTTTTCTAGCACACATCTCATGCAGGACTACACTTTTAGGGTCATATAATGAGCCGAACACTTAATTCTGCGACTAGTGATTATCATTGAATATCTGCTGTTATAACTCATTACAAACCTCTTCTATCATTCATAACTTCTCAGTGGAGCACGGCTAGTAAGAAGGATGTTGGAGATAGGGTACAAGACAAGCACGATGTTTCATATCCAAATAAAATTTTAGTTTTTCTTGAAACCAATGTCCTTTCAAGTCAAGTGTCATCTTTGTATTTCTTAGTACCATGTCTTGATGCATTTTGGTTCCAGTCATGCATCAATCTCTTCTCTTCTGAGAGTTGTGCTCGGTTGCAAAGTGACTTTTTGAAAACACCATATGGAGAGGGTGAATAAAGAGAAGGTCCAAAATAACCAACACCGACTAGTAACAACTTAAAATAACTTCGCACAATTTAAAGAAAGGAACGAGAAGAAAAATCTAATGCAAGAGGGTCCTTGATGATGTATCCTGGTTCAACTTGATTTCTCGAGTCAGGTCTATGTCCATCCATTGCAATAACTGCAACAATTTGTGCAACGATTAACAAATCTTCTTACAACTCCTGGTTTTGATCTGGAGGTAATCACTGTCATCTTCAACTTCTTAAACCCCCTCAACAATTCACACAAACGTGGGTAGATCTAGATGCCACAATTCCACTGACGATCTCTTAAATCCCAGAAATTTCGTGGGTAGATCTCAATGCCACAATTTCACTGAATCTCTTAGATATAAGAAATTCCCTTAAAACGATAATAGAGAAGGTTTTCGCCTTTTGAATTGCAGAAAGGACCATCAATAAAGTTCAAAGGAAAGATGCTCTAATAGAGTGAACACTAGTGGTTGCTAAAATTTAGATGGTAAAAATTGAATGCAAAAACCTTTGAGAGCATCAGTATTAACAAATGAATTTTGGCTCTTAGCCAGCCTTATATTTATGCTCATGAAAAAAAAAAGATTTTGCCCTCATGGAGTTGTGGACAAGTTAGAAGCCTGAATAGATGTCCATTGTGCAAATATGCTGTTTATGACAATAATATTCATATGTTTGTGCTATGTTTTTTTAAAACTAGTATAATGCACTTGCTTTGCACTTGAGCTTATTTGTTTCATTTAATGTTTTGAATTTTTATTTGTTGACTTGAAAATGGTGAAATTCATGTATAGAAATATAAATTATTAAATTCAACAATTAAAAATATGTTTAAATAAATGAAATTGTATTATGATTTGGTCGAAGATGGCCACAATCATGGATTATAGTCCACAGGAAATTTGGAGCATTCATAAAATATTTTTTGTGGGAAAGAAATTTGTGATTTTGTTGAAAACGACCAAAAAGCGTTACGACCCACATAGTTTCAGGAGTTTTGAAATATTATAAAATATTCTGCTAGAAGACAATTCTTGATTTGGTTGAAATTGGCCAAAATCATGGGTTACAATTCACTGAAATTGAGAATTTTGGATTATGCACAAAATATTCTATGTGAGATGACAATTTGTGATTTGGTCGAAACGATCAAAATCATAAGTTACAGGCAACAAATATTCGGAAATTTTGGAGTATTCAATAAAATATTTCACGAAAGACAACAATTTGTCCTTTGGTCTAAAATGACAAAAATCATGAATTATAGTCCACATAAATTCGCAAATTTTAAAAAATACATAAAATATTCTTTGTCCACAAAGATTCGAGATTTTCAGAGTAGGTATAGCGCAACATGCTGGACAACAATTTGTGATTTGCTTGATAAAATTTTGAATGTTAATCTAAACAAAATATACGAGATGATAGTTTGTGATTTGGTCAAAAATGATACAAAAAATATGGGTAATAGTGTTGATATTTTCCAGAACTTCGAAATATGCATAAAATATTTTTTCCTGGATGACTATCTGTGCTTTGGTCAAAAACTGTAAAAACCATAGGTCAAAAACAGCCTAGATTACATAGCCCATAGAGATTCGAGAATTTCAGAGTACACATAAATTTTCTATGCAGGATGACAATTTATGATTTGATTGAAAATAAACAAAATTATGGGTTTGAGTCAATAAAAATTATAGTCAAAAAAAATTTAAAATTTTTAAAGTATTCATAAAGTATATTATGGGTGACAACAACTTGTAATTTGGTTGAAAACAGCAAGAAACATGGTTTATAATCTTCATAATTTGGAAATTTTAAGATATGCAAAAAATATTCTTTGTTAGACGACAATGTGTGAATTGGTAGAAATTAGCCAAAACCATGGGTTGTGGTGTATTAAAATTTAAGAATTTTTGATTTTGCATAAACATTTCATCGGGGATGACAATTTGTAATTTAGTCAGAAACGATCAAAATTCATAGTCTATAAAAATTTAAAAAATTTGGAGAACCCATAAAATATTCCATGTAGGACAACAATTTGCGATTTGGTCTAATATGACAAAAATCACTTGTTAAGTTGTTATAGTCCACATAAATTCACGAATTTTGAAATATGCATTAAATATTTTTTTGATTGACGAAATTTCATAGTGTAGCCGAAAACAGCCAAAATCACGGGTTATAGTCTATAGAAATTTGAGAATTACATATAATGCATAAAATATTACAAATGGGACGACAATTTGTGATGGTGGAAAATGGCCCAAATCATAGGTTGTAGTCCGTAAAATTTGAAAATTTTGGAGTATTCATAAAATATTTTATGCATGATGGGAATTTGTGAATTGGTCGAAAATAATAAAAAACATAGGTGATAGTCCACATAAGTTCGAGAATTTTGAAATATGCATAAGATATTCTTTGTTGGAAGACAATTCGTGGCTTAGTCTAAAACTACCAAAATAATGGGTTATGGCCAACAAAATATTGAAAATTTCCGAATGCACATAAGTTATTCTATGTGGGATGACAATTTGTTATGTCGTCGAAAATAGTCAAAATCATGAGTTATACTCCACAAAAATTTGAAAATTTTATAGCATTCACAAAACATTATGGGGAACAACAATTTTGTGATTTGGTCCAAAATGGCAAAAAACATGGTTATAATCCATATAAATTTGAGAATTTCGAAATATGCATAAAATATTATTTGACAATAATTTGTGATTCGGTCAAAAATAACCAAAATCATGGGTTATAGTTCATAATCCTATAGTTTGGGAGTATGCATTTAATATTTTACAAGGGATGATAATTTACAATTTGGTCAAAAATGACCAAAATCATGTATTGTAGTCCAGAATAATTTGGAAACTTGGACATCAATTTGTGATTTGGTTGAAAATGACAAAAAACTTGGGTAGTCCACATAAATTCTGGAATTTTAAATATGCATAAAATATTCTTTGTTTGATGACAATTCGTGATTTGGTCGAAATTAGCCAAAATAATAGGTTATAGTCAACTGAAATTCGAGAATTTTGGAATATGCATAAATAATACTATGTGGGATGACAATTTGTGTTTTGATTGAAAACAACCAAAACCATGGGTTAGTAGGTATTCATAAAATATTCTATGCGGAATGACAATTTGTGACTTGGTCTAAAACGATAAAAATGATGGGTGATAGTCCACATAAATTCACAAATTTCGAAATATACATATATATACTCTTTGTTGGATGACAATTCGTGATTTCGATGAAAATAACCAAAATTATGGGTTTATAGTCCACAAAAATTCTATAATTTCAGAGTATGCATAAAATATTTTATGCGGGACGCCAATTTGCCATTCGAATGAAAATGGCAAAAATCATGGGTTATATTCTAAAAAAAGTTCGGAGATTTTGGCATATGCATATATTGCAGGAAGGCAATTTGTGATTTGGTTAAGGTGGCCAAAAGCATTGGTTATAGTTTATAGAAATTTGAGAATATTGCAAAGCATCCAACTAAAAAAGATGTATGCAATGGACAATTTATTTTAGCAATTTCTGGAGTCTGTATAATCTCCTACCCTGCTGCAATTTGTGGTTTGCTTTTGATAATTTAGTTATGGTTGGTTGTTGTCTTGAAGGAAAGACTTTGTTTTTTAGGATGGTCAATAAAAAACTTGCTAATTCATCCTCTGTCTCCTCTCCTCTCCTCCCTTTCTCTCTATTTTATTGTGCATATGATAATAAACTAATAAAATTAATTAACTTAGTTTTGAATATATTAGTGACACTCGTATAATGCACATGCTTTGCACGTTGTGGGCTTCTTTATTTCATTTAATGTTTTAAATTTTTATTTATTGACTTGAAAATGGTGAAGTGCTTGTATAATAATATAAATCCTTATATTCAACAATTAAAATTTTGATAAAACAAATGAAATTGTATCATGATTTAGTGGTAATGGCGAAAATTATGAATTATAGTCCACAAAAATTCAAAATTTTGGAGTATTTATAAATTATTTTATGCGGGAAAAAATTTTGTGATTTGATAAAAGAAGGCAAAATTTGGGTCATAGTTGATACAAATTCGGAAATTTTGAAATATGCATAAAATATTCTTTGCTAGATGACAATTCTTGATTTGGCCGAAATTAGCCAAAATCATGGGTAATCCACAAAAATTCAAGATTTTAGAGTATTCATAAGATATTCTATGTAGGACTACAATTAGTCTTTTGGTTTAAAATGACAAAAATTATGAGTTATAATCCATATAAACTCACAAACTTGGAAACTTGCATATCATATTCTTTATTGGATGACAATTCGTGATTAAACAACCAAGATCATAGGTTACAGTCCACAAAAATTCGATAATTTCAGAGTAAGCATAAAATATTATGTGTAGGACGAAAATTTGTGATTTTGGAGTATTTAGAAAATTAATTATGCGGGATAATTTATAATTTAATAAAAATGACAAAATTATGGGTAATAGTGCATATAAATTCAAGAATTTTGAAACATAATAAAATACTTATTTCTAGATGATAATTTGTGATGTGGTTGAAAACAAACAAAATTATGGGTTACCGTCCATAGAAATTCGAGAACTTCGAAGTACACATAAAACATTCTATGTAGGATGACAAACTTAAGATTTGATAAAAAATGACCTAAATCATAGGCTATAGAGTCAATAAAAATTCAAAATTTTTGGAGCATTTATAAAATATATTATGCGGGACAACAATTTGTGATTTGGTTGAAAAACAACAATTATAGTCCACATAAATTCAGGAATTTTTAAATATACATAAAAATATTTTTTGTTGGACAACAATTTGTGAGTTGGTGGAAATTAACCAAAATCATGGTTTACATCTACTAAATTTAACAAATTTTGGATTTTGCAAAAATATTCCATATGTGATACCAATTTGTGATTTGGTCAAAGACGGACAAAATCATGGGGTCATAGTCCACAAAAAATTTAAAATTTTGAAGTACTCATAAAATATTCCGTGTAGGACGCCAATTTGCGATTTGGTCTAAAATGACGAAAATCATTGGTTATATAGTCCATATAAATTCATGAAATTTGAAATATGCACTAAATATTATTTGATGGACGACAATTCGTAGTATGATCGAAAACAATCAAAATAACGGGTTAATAGTCCACATAAACTTGAGAATTTTATTGTATGCATAAAGTATTATAAAGGGGACAACAATTTGTGGGAAATGGCCAAATCATGTGTTGTAGTCCATAAAATTCAAAAAATTTGGAGTATTAATAAAACATTTTATGCGGAATGGCAATTTGTGATTTGTCGAAAATAAAAACATAAAGGTAATGGGCTACATAAGTTCAAGAATTTTGAAATATGCATAAAATATGCTTTGTTGGAAGACAATTCGTGGCTTAGTCTAAAACTACCAAAATAATGGGTTATGGCCAACAAAAGTTTGAAAATTTAGGAATGCACATAAGATATTCTGCGAGGGTTCAACAATTTGTTACGTCCTTCAAAATGACCAAAATCATGGGTTATACTCCACAAAAATTTAAAAAACTTTGTAGTATTCATAAAATGTTATGGGGGATGAAAATTTTGTGATTAGGTCAAAAATGGCAAAAACATGGGTCATATAGTCCAAAAAAATTCGAGAAGTTCGAAATATGCATAAATTATTATTTGTTGACAATAGTTTGTGATTTGGTCAAAAATCATGGGTTATAATCCATAAAAATCCTATACTTTTGGAGTACCCATTTAATATCTATGCGGGATGACAATTTGTGACATGGTCAAAAATGTCCAAAATCATGGACTACAGTCAACAAAAGTTTGGAAATTTGGACTCTTCATAAGATATTTCATGCGAGACATTAATTTGTGATTTGGTCAAAAATAACAAAAAATGGGTTATAGCCCACATCTTCAGTATGACAAAATTATGCGAGACATTAATTCATGAGAAATATGAATTCGCGATTTTGTCAAATTAGCCAAAACCATGGATTACAGTCCACAAAAATTTGAGAATTTTTTATTATGCATAAAATATTCTATGCGGTATGACAAATTATGATTGAGTCAAGAACGACAACAATCATGGGTTATAGTCCACAAAAATTCAGAAAATAAAATATTCATAAAATATTCTATGCAAGACAACAATTCGTGATTTGGTCTAAAACGAAAAAATCATTGGTGATGGTCCACATATATTCGCAAATTTTGAAATATGCCAAAGTATTCTTTCATTGATGAAAATTCGTGATTTGACTCAAAACAATCAAAATTATGGGCCATAGTAGAGAAATTCGAGAATACGGAGTATGTATAAATATTCTATTTGGGATGACAATTGCGGTCGAAAATGACCAACATCATGGATTATATTCCCAAAAAAATCGGAGATTTTAGCGAATAAATAAAATATTCTTTGCGAGTTGACAATTGCGGTCGAAAATGGCCAACATCATGGATTATATCCCCAATATCACTAAGGGGATGTATTCGCATTTGGATCACTACTAAAGGGGGCCTATTCGCAACAAATAGAACTACATGGATGATAGCATAAGGGGAGTCTGTTCGCAATTAACTGTAAAAAATAATTTGAATACTGGACAACTGAACCCACATCTAGTCAGACCTATGCCAGATATCCACGTTACAAAATGCGAAAATCACAATATTTTGTTTACTCACTGTCAAAAATTGATGTGCATAACATCTCTGGTCAGATTGCTGTTGAACAATTATAGAACGAAACCTCCTACGTTATTGGTTTTGCATATGTAAATGGCATAAAGAAAAAGACGTCTGCCAACCATTGTTTCCAAACATCATTTGATGGAATATGCATCATAAATTTATAGGATAAAATGATCATTTCCCCTTGTATTGGTGAACTCACAAGTATTGGTGAACTCACAAGTTGTCCCTAAAGTATCTATTTATCTATTCCCCCCTAATCTACGTGTACGTGCCCAATGTGATCATTTTGTGAGCCTACTAATTACACATTTGTACGTCAGAATTTACGATCACACTAACGCTTATTCAAAAACTGGATACCTCTTTCTCCCATTCAAGCATGAAACTGGAACACAAGATCAATCGCCGATCTCCTCCTCTCCATCGAGTCAACGGCCGACAACTCCTCCCCTTGACCCG